CCAATCAGCTGTTAACTTGTGATGGTTCTATACAGAGAAACCTCAAATCTGACCATTTTTCATGGTGATGCCTCTTATCACTGCTGATTAACAAACTAATGTTTCTGAGACAGAAAAGAGACGGTCTCTAAGTAGGAACGAATATAATAGTCAAAAACGTCATAGTGTCAGGGATAAAGGAAAATACTGGCCTTTATTATTAAAATTGGACAGGCTGATTTGTGAGTCTTATTAGTGAGATATCATTTTGTGGAAGCGTTTTGGGAAGTTATTTGAAGATGATGTTATTTTATCAGAAATTATGTAGTTAAAATTCCTTCGTATCATCCTCTGTAGCCCCAAAGCACCATGAATTGAAGAATTGTTTCCAACTCACGTTTATCTTCAGCTTAGTTTGAGAAAGTTACATATAACTTGAACACTAATACCAAAGATGTCTTTCCTTCTTCACTAAAGCTCTTTGCCATTACCAGCTACAAAGAAAAGCAGGGCCAGCCTATATAGCAAATTTGTAATGATTTCTCTGAGAAGTCATCATAAGGAAGAAGCTTCTTACATAATTAGCTACAATTCAAAAATATCACCCTCTTATGCACAGAATTTGTCAAATGAAGAATTAATAAGGTTGAAACAAAAATAAAAACACACTACCCCGTACAAAGGAAAAAATTGTGGAGAGATAACTCGGACAAATTGTGGTTATTTAAAAGTTTTGATTAAAGACAGGCAGACAGCTGTAAGAAAGAATTTCCTGTCTTGTCCTCTCCTCCTACAATCAAGGTCACCAAGTTTTTGGTTCGTTTAGTTATAATCTTGTTGACTCAAAATTAGCTTGAATGCATAACACTGCTCAAAACATTTAAGACATCATTTTATAGGAAAAATGCCAAAGATTCGCTAAAAGGGGAAAGAGTGAAGCAGCATAGCTTTGAACTTGAGTTCAGAATTGTTTCAAGGATATATACAGATTAGATGTTTGAGGTATTTTTACTTCTAAAACAATTCCTACACATTTGTTTTTATAAATAGGATTTTGTTAATCTGGAGAACCAATTTAGGGATCAACACCTCTGCTTGAAGTAAATGTCAAATTAGTAGCATCAAAATATACACACTGTCACAGGTACATATGAGAATTATATCACTAAGGGATATGTAACAACACCATAATGAATATTCCAGAAATTCTTTTTTAGTGTTGTTTTATAACAATAAATATCTTTTGATTCATAGCATCAGGTGAAACAATTTAAATAAAAATTAGGTATGAAAACTAATTTATCCTAACATTGAAATGAATTGTTTTACTCATAATTGAGTGCAATGCATATGATTTAGCTTATAATTCAATTTATTTTATTTTAAAATCTTATTTGTGTGAATTAGTGCTAGCTGTTAATGTATTTATCACCAGATATTCTTTCCATAATAATGTATGATAGTCTGGATGTATAATTAGGCTTCATGCTATTTGGTGTTCATGCTGTTTGAAGCATATTGCTTCTGTAACTATATGAACTCGCATCATACATTATTTCTTTCTTATAAAGTGATAATTGATCTAATTTAGAGATTATTCTGATGAATTACAGTGTAGAACGGAGGAATGGAAAATAGTGTGTACAAGAAGTCGGGAAATTAGGATTCATGGCACACTCCTCCACCATGAATCCTTTCTGTTCACTAGTACAGGGTTTCAGCAACTGTGATAGCAACGAGCTGTCCTTTAGAAATATTCTGCCTGCTGGAAATGAAGTTTGTGCCACATTTCAACAGGACTTACGCAAATATTTCTCAAATGACAAGCCGCCACATCGTCTTGGGGCAATTTAAAGTTCAAGAGATGTTCAGTAATTTGGGCAAATAAGCTTACATGAGGGCAGTGGATAGTTAAACAGAGAGCTCCCCTTTTTTATGTAGTTGGATAGTTTCAAAGCTTATACGGTAAACTGCATATGTTACACACACAAAAAAATATATATGTTCAAGAACACCAGGCACTGAAAAGGTGAAGAATCAGAAATCAGCTTGGCCAGGCAAGCAGAATCAGAAGTATCTGACTTCATCCTATTCTCTGTATATTAATTTTAAAACTTCAAAGAATCAAATTAAATTATATACATACATATGGGATTAGCATTTAATTGGTTTGATCTTTTAACATATAAGCAAATAAACAAAGTGGAAAGCACATATGAATTGTTGATTTTCAAAAACTAGTATCATGTATTTTTTGAAACACAGAGTGACACAGAGGAAAAGACCAGTAATTCCATGAGAGCTCGCAGATGGGTGTCAGGAACACAAGCACTTGGCCCATCATCCATTGCATTCCTACCAGTGAATTAACGGGAAGTACAGAAGAGAAGTAGCAGGGACATAAACTCTATTCGGCACTCAGATACGACATGCGGCCATCCCAAATGGCGGCTACTCAGCCGAGGCACAAATCCACCTCTAGATTTTTTTTAGGTATGATGATTCTTCAGAAAGATTGTGGAAAATGGAACTAAAAGATGCCTTTACTTTGCTGCCGAGGAAATTTGAAATCCACTTATAAGTTTTTCCTAATTGCATTCCCATGCTTTTTTAAAAATCTGCATGCATGAATTTAAAAATGATTGCACTAAATTAATTGTAACTTTCAATATCATTTTCCATGAATTTATTGAAGTGTCCTTATATTAATGAAAACAGAAAGTAACCAATGTGCCAGATAATGTTTTCATCACATACATAAACATTATCACCTTACTTATATTATTCAGCTGAATTTCACAATCAATTTCAATTATTATTTTGCGCCTATTTTTGTGTTAATTCATCAAACAATATCAGAAACACACTCAAAGACTCTCTTCCCAGATGGTCAGTATTATTGCAGAATCAGTACCTTTAATCTTAGTTTTTGTCCTTTCAAACACTATTATTCAGAACAAATACAATGAAGCTGAAAGTACTCTACTGTATGAAGCAGGGAATGCAGAAGTCACTCATAAATCATTAGTCAGTGACTGCCTGTTCAATCTTTCTATAAATATCAAGCTCTATGGAAGTAGGTAACACTTCTTGATTTCTCCCATGCTCTTTGAATAATGCTAAAACAGTAGATAATTTATCTGCATGCTGATCTGATCCAACTAAAGAAGAAATCAACATAATAATAAAAAACAAACATTTATGTAAATATTGAAAAATCGTAGTTTCCAAAACAAGACAAAAATAGTAACAGGGAGCATTTAATATTTTATTTCATGTTTTCTATTAAAGTGTATATATCTTAGAGCATAAAGATGGCAGATTTAATGTAGTTCACAAACAGAATTCTAGGAGTATGATAATTTCCTTCCTCTTTCCTTACCTCTCACCCACCCTCTTTCCCTCTTTAACTTTCACTTGTTCTCTTTGCTCAGGGGAGCATTGTCTCTGACCAAAATGTAAAAGAAAAACATATGAAAATGAAAAGATCCAATATTTTAAATACTAGTAGATGCAAATCAGTCTAGATAGAATACAGTCTCACTTTTATAATAGTCTCACAAAAATGAATGCAATAAAAGTTTAAAATAAGGAGAAACACAGTCATGTAAGGACTTCAGTCAGTTATTCAGATGAGGAAATTTTGACTTACCTCAGAATAGCACTTATTTTTACACATAAAATGCTAAATGCTTAAAAAGTCAATATTAATAAAATAATCGAATGCATCAGCAATAAGGATACTATAGACATGAATATTGCAGACATATTTTTAGATATTTTCCTATGCTTTTTATCCCCGTTTGTTTCTTCTTCATGTATCCACAAGTTTGTATGTAATAGGAAACCACAAGTTAATACATAATAGCAAAAAGTCCTTCATGTTGCAAGGAACATACTGTACAAGAGTAACTGCCTATAATAAGTATCCCAATAAAGTTCTTCTAAACACATAGCAAGAGTAAGGTAGAATAGTTGCAAAGCTAAAAAGAAAAGTATTTTTCCCTAAAGGAAAATAAATATATATCACCAATTTGAATATAACATAATAAGTTTTAAAATGATAGTATACCTCATTCTGCAATAGTAATTTATTCTCCCAATACATTAACTTATAGAACTGATGATTTTCTCAATTAGAATTAGACATAAGGTGAGTCTAACACAGAAGCTGCAGGTTAAAAATTAAATAGGGTTGAGAGAAATATAGGGAAAAGTAGCAGAAGTATTTTGAAACTCTAGTTTCTATAACAACTATATGCTTTCTTCAGCCTATTCTTTTAAAATTCTGCTAATTACTATTTGTCTTTCAATTTTACAAAGAATTTATGCACATATTGTTGACATGGAAGTCATAAAAATGTTAAAACTTATTGATGTTTGAGGAGCAAAAGTAGAATTATAAGGTATCAGTGAAAAATAACTTGATCTTTCAACCAATTAAACCAAATTCAGTTTATTTTAAGCTGGGAAGTTTATATTTAAAATAATGGAAATATGTTCAAGCCCCAAAAATGCACCCTAAAGATAATTAAGCTTTTTATTTTAAAGGTGTCAACTGCTTGTATGCTAATCATGTTAGAAAATTAAAAACAGGAACAAGTGTTTGTTATACAAGTTAAGACATCATATAAGTTCCCAAATCCCATATTGGAGTGCTCGGCTTAATGTCCTGATTCCACATCCAATTATGTATGCTGGGAGATAAAGATTGATGACTCAAGTCTTTAGGACCCTGCTTTCCACTGGGAGGCTCCCACTGAGTTCCAGACTCTCAGCTTTAGTCTGATCTACTCTGGGCTAGTGTGAGCATTTAGCGAAAGACAACAGATGGAAAACTTCTCTTTCTCTTTTTTTCTTTTATATAAGCAAAAATGAATAAATAAAACCTACAAATAATGCCACTAAAACTTAGGGAAAAAATATTCTATAGAGAAAAACCCAGTATTGCACTAATCAAAGTTTCAATAGCAAACAGCAATCTGTATGGATTTTCACCCGGCTCATGTGAATGGACTTACTTGATTGGCAATCTGCCGAGCTAAGACATCCATTCTTGATCCTGATTCTGAAATCGTTTTAGCTGCATAGATCACATCAGTGGTATGCTTTAGAGGGCCTTTACCCCTGAAAATGAAAGAAGGAGTCAATTGTTGTGCAGAAAAAGTATGTGCATAGGAAGATAGCCCATATCCATGTATATAAATGCTATTCTCATCTCAAAGCACTGGCACTGGTCTGGGAATGGACTCCATCACCCAATCAGACTTCAGCAAGGAATGAAAAAGAAAACTGAGATCCTGTTGTATTGACACTCATGAAAGATTGCAGAGAAGCTCAATTTGGTTTGGTTTTCTTTCCCAGCTGTTTGTTATAGTAAACTTCACCCTAGAGATATTCTTGGTGCATCTAGAAATCCTAATACAAACATATTTTCTGAGTTTCTAAATTATAAACAGAAATATGGTATTTGGGGTATTGCATACATATGTTCATGTTGATTAGCAAGGCTGCCTTTAACTTATCTCTGTTTACTTCTTGAATAGTCTTTCAGTGAATCACATTTTATTTTCATCATTTTATTCCTATTCCATAATATTATTAGAGAAAAATACTTGTCGACTATGAATAGTGCTATGCAGTGGTAGGATAGAGATGGTTCATGTAAAGTTAAAAGAACAGTGAATTCTATATCTGTAATGGCCAACACCAAAAAACTTGTGCATTACAGGTCAAAAGGGAGCCTTTCAGTGCCTTTTTCCCAGGGTGCCTCTCAAAATTATTTTAAGTAAGTCTTTCTTAAAGTTTGAATGGTGTGCCTAACCATGAAGCCTGGCTTAGGAGATGGTTATCATCATGCTTTTCTGAAACTGCTGACACAGGTAGCTTTGTAATAAGAGGAGAAGAAAGCAACATTCATCATTAGGATATTTGAGTTGCTTTTACCAAATTTACTTTATGCGTGAGGCAGGAATCAGTGTTTTGTACATGGTTAGGGTTCAAGGAAGATATTGCATTTCATTGTTTCTATGCATCCCCAGAGAAAGTTTAAGTTTAATAAAGCTGTCTAGGTTCCCAAAAGGCAATGCATCAATTTTCAAGGTCTTAAACAATGGTCAAAGGTTGTTTCTGAAGAGAACAGTTAAGACTCTCACAAGTAAAACAACAGACAAAGAGTTATATCTAAAGAATGAAGTAAATTCTCAATTAGCTCCATTAGCTGGTAATAAGGGAAATCCAAATAAAAACATCACTGAGATACCACCTAATTCTAGTAAGAATGGCACACATACAGAAAACCACCACCAACACTTGCTGGCGAGAATGTGGGGAATAAGGAACCCTACTCCACTGCCAGTGGGATTGCAGGCTGGTGCAACCTCTATGGAAGTCAGTATGGAGAATACTCAGGCAACTGAAAATCTACCTACCATAAGATCCAGCAATACCACTTTTAGGAATATATGCAAATGGCTTATTATACAAGAAGGCAACAAAACCCCTATGTTCATAACAGTACAATCAGTAATCACAAAAACATGGAAGCAACTGAAATGCCCATCAACAGAAGACTGGATAAGGGAACTACAGTTAATTTACTCTATGAAATACTACTCAGCTATTAAAAAAAATGAAATAAATTTCTTTGTGGCCAAATGAGCCCAATTGGAAACCATTATGCTAAGGGAAATGAGCCAAACCCAAAAGGTCAGATATCATATGTTTGCCTTAATACAATATAATATAATGTCAAATCTAAAAATTGTACCTGTAAATTTTATCTTATCACACTTCCTGTCTGTACTACAGACAGAAGACTGGATAAGGGAACTACAGTTAATTTACTCTATGAAATACTACTCAGCTATTAAAAAAAAAATGAAATAAATTTCTTTGTGGCCAAATGAGCCCAACTGGAAACCATTATGCTAAGGGAAATGAGCCAAACCCAAAAGGTCAGATATCATATGTTTGCCTTAATACAATATACAATACAATATAATACAATACAATATACAATATAATATATTAATACAATATAATACAATATAATATAATGTCAAATCTAAAAATTGTACCTGTAAATTTTATCTTATCACACTTCCTGTCTGTACTACATGCAATAAGATCTTGTGATGTAACCTAGTAACCTATTAATCAATAATTCGTGAGAGACTGATTACATATGATCACCTGAGATTGTTAATATAACTAGTAACACTGTTGTTACTACCACCCATGGATAAAGAGGACCTAGTCCACACTGTAGTCCCATTTGAACCACACGGGTCATACACTAGCATTAATTTCTGCAGGAAGATATTGGACACTCTTTTGCACCACCCTAGCATCACACTGATACCCCTGCTAGGAATTTGTCAGCACCACGGAGATGAAGACTACTACTTCATTTTATTTAGTTTTTTTCCTTCTCAACCTGTGGTGGACTGTCCCTAAGAGGAGGCATAATGGAAGTGCAGCACAAATAAATATGTCCATATGCAGAAACAGAGAGACGTGTATCTCCTTACTTGTAATACAAGGATGGTCTCACAGCGAAATGACAGATAAGCCCCTACTTAGATGGGAGGCACTTCAATGGCAGTATGATGGACTTCTTAGGGTACATGAAAGACATCTAGTGAGAGACTGGAGAGGAGAACAATGGCGGTGTGGAGGGGGAGGGGAACCCCAATGCCTATTAAACTGTGTCATAAAATAAAGAATTAAAAAAAAAAGAATGAAGCTAATTCACCACCACCCTCCACACACAAATGCTGTATTTCCCTATAAAAACAATGGGCTGATAAAAGTGAAACTGCTCTAACTTTAAATGCATACCTTGTTATAAAAATCACTGGCTTACAATAACTTTCAAAACTTAAAAAAAAATTATAATGCACTATGACAGTCCACAGTTATTCTCTCCACAAGGTTCTTAATTAAATGTATTGTCTGGCAAGCTTCATATATATATATGTGTGTGTGTGTGTGTGCGTGTATGTGTGTATGTATGTATGCATACACACACTTTACAAATGATTCTATATCATGCCAAGCTTCCAGATGAAGCTACAATTACTGAAACTATGATAAATTTTTAACAGTCTCAGCCTGAAATGTGCTATGTCATGAAAGCTTTTAAACTGGGAAATACATTCAAAGGTTGCTTGCTGCTTTCATTTTCATAATGGGTTCTCAGGATCTCCTGTCAGCACATAGTGTCTTAAATCACTGAGTTGGATGCTATGGAGAAAGATACCCAGAGGAGGAAGGAGCAGGGAGAGGAAGCACTTAAATGAAACCAGAGGCCAGATTCGCTTTAATAACTGATGGTTACAATAACAATCTGTCTAGTTCCCCCGAAGGAGGGCAGATCCCGTTACAAAGCGGAGGGTCTGCCAAATGACAACTATGTGAGGTAATGCATATGCTAATACAGCCATCCCACAAAAGTATACATATTTCAAAACATCATGTAGTACATGAAAAAGGTTTTTAAAAGTTATCTATTGAATTTTTCACGTCATTTGAAAAGTTAGAGGTTAGAAGATAAACCAGAAAAGGCTGCAATGGCCTTGTGATAGGGACACAGCAGGCAACTTACAGAGATGCGGCAGAGAGACAATGTGATGGTTTTCCATCGATTTGCAACATATTTCTGCTGCTTTCTTGCCCTTTCTTGAATTCCTCTCCATGACTTTATCCCATTGCTGGCATCAGTGCCCTAAATTCTCCCTCTTTTGATTAGCATCAAAACATAAGTTGAGATGAATAATACCAAGTCAATTAATTAAACTTCCGGCTTAGAAACAATGACAAAAACTAACAAACGATTCCAAGGATTGTATTTTGTCTTACGAAGGAATGAGAATATCAATGACCTGATTTGGTATTTTCAGCGACTAATTAAAAGTAAAACAGGAAGTTTGGTTTTATTATTTGCATTTTGTGGTTAAAGCCAAAACATTTTTCTATCTTTTCTGTTGATTTTTACATATAAAAGGTTTGATGATGCTGTAGTTTACTTAGTAGATGAAAACAACTACACTGTACATCTGTTCTGCCATAATAATAGTTAAACCATTTTGTATTTTTTACATATCAGGCAATGTTCTTTATACAGAATAATTGTATTGGTGTCACAACCCAATCAATATAGAATTATTACTAAGAGTTTTTATTTTGTAAACGAGGAAACTGAGGGACAGAAAGACTAAATGCGTTTTGCCAGAGGTTACACCTCTGATAAGTACTGGAGAGACAAAACTTCAATTCTGGCAATGTGGTTGCAGAATCTGCTTTGCACAATTGCACTGCACTGCCTCCTGCAGAATAAACTCAGTTGAAATTCAAAAAAAAAATTAAATTATCTCCTTAGATACTGATCAGAATTATCATGAATGCATTAGGGAACACAAAGGTTAAATTTAGATGCTGGGTACAACAACAGCTTCAAGGATACAATTTACATCTGTGCCCTTGCAAAGTAACAAATGTACCATGTTGCATGGCCTTTCAGCGACATAACAAATAGCCCTAATAGTCTAAATCCTAGGGCATTGTTCTTGAGATAGTATTGCTAGTTTGGCCCTTTATCTTCATTACCTTCCCATCCTTTTTCCTTCTCCTCAGATTCTACATCCTATATTCTAATTCTGTCATTGCAACCCCATATTAGATGACCACTGCACCTTGGCGTTTGTTTGTAACAAATGGAACAACTAGCAGAAAAATCTTATCTCTGGACATAGTCACATTTATTTATCACATTCACATTTTGTGCAAATCAGTGCAGAGAAATGAATATGAACTCAGAAAAAGAATATTTTACCTGAATCCCGATACTGTTACTAGCCAGGTAATTTTGTGTAAGTGGTTGTTGTTTGAACTTGCTTTTTTTCTTAATAAAAATCTAACATTTACACAGCATATGACAAATGGTAAGTTCTCATCAAACTAATTTACTATTTTGTTTCTATTTTTATGAAGGCTGTTGACCCTACTGACCTCCTTACTATACCTCCTGATAGTATTACTTTATACAGCAATGTCTATTCATAATATCCTTTAGCTAAAGATAGAGCATAATACATATTTTTATATTTAAATAATATATAATATGT